GTATATACAATTCTGACCTCATTTAGGGCTAAATTACAAAGATTCAAAGACATTGGAATATTTTTATGAAAAACACTTCCTGAATGATAGAACATGACTAATTTTCATTTCCTTGATTTGTCTCATGTGTTTTCTGATTTTTCCCTAGAATAGCCTTTCTGAAGGGCAGACACATCATGTAAGCTTCTTCTAATAATTCTTCAGATACCCCTCGTTGCTGAAAGACTGAGTACTCCTAGACGACCCTCCTGGAAGTCCCCTCCTCTCCATACTCTTCTTACCCATCTTAACCCTCAGAGCCAAACCCACAGTCACAACTATCAGAGTTTTCAATGCACTGGATCACATTGGGCTTTCTTGACTGTTCTTGCAACCTCCTCAGCCAGTGGGGCCAGCCGTCTTGAAAGCCAAGTGGCTCATCTGCTCCTCCTTTCCCAACATCCCTTCTCTGGGGAAAATAGGGCTGCTTATTCTTTTGTATCCCATCAGAATTCTATACTGACTTATTTCCTAGGACCCATTCATCACACATGCTCTTGACCAGGTTATCCAGCTGGCTGACTAAGGTTTGTCCAAGTGCCCAGGTATCTCTGGACATCCTTTTTGGTACAAGGGCTGTGCCTGGCACTCAAATACATTTGTTGAAACAATGCTAAAGAACACCTATACAAATAACAGTAGCAGCAACAGCGTGGGTATTCTCAAGACAGTGCCCGCTGTGGCTAGAGACGAAAGCAACATGCCACACCTCATTTTTGTCTTTCCTTCTTTTCAACTCCTTAGTCATTAAAAGATTTAAAGGATGTTAATTTTTCATTAATTTATTTTTTATCAAGCCTCAAGAAATGCATTTGCTACTGAAACAATAAAGACTTACACAAAATATCTAAGCATCCACTACAATTTAGGCCACATTACTCTTCTGTGAGGTGAAGATTGTCCTTTGAATAGAAGAGCATGAAATTGCAGTGCCTCGTAGCAACAGACTGCTTTAGGGCGGAGTCTGTGCTGGTGGAAAGGCTGAGATGCATCTAAGCATCTTCCTGGGAGAATGGTATCAGGTCAGCTCAGTCACTGGATGAATAAGATAAAAACAATCTGCTTTTTTCACTAATTTCTTTGTTGTTTAAAACCAAAGACTGATAATTTTCTTTTCTCATTTTAAGTTTTGGATCAAGAAAAATCAGTATAACTTCATGTGTTCCTTACCACTGTTTAGAGAATGAACTTTTTGTCACCAAGGGAGATCAGAAAAATGAAGGTTAAGAAACTGAGTCAGACAAAAAGGAACAGAATAGCTTTTAATGTTCCAGTGAAAAAGGTGTTTTCACTTTACACTAGATTACAGCCAGCTCCTCAGCCATCATGACCCTTCCACAGCATGGACTATAGACCACCCAGAGTCAAATTACTATAGCTACACCCAGAGGAGACAAATGCCTCCATTCCTGGCACTTACACAGCAGTAGAGAGCATCATACAAATACTATTGGGTCACATACTATTACTGAGTACTAAGAGAACTTACCACACAGGAAACCTAACACCTGGTTCTTTTTCCTCAGGTCCAGAATGAAGGTAAGAAAAATAAATAAGCCTCCAACAGGAATGAAGGACTTTTACAAGTGCTGAATAGTGTCAACAAACCCCTTCAGACTCTGGGAACAGATTCCCCTCAAAAAAGCTATGCACTCATTGTGCCTTTCAGGCCAGGTGGAAAAGTCTCCTCCTCCAATTAGACAGTACTTGGTAAAGAATGGAGATGCCAAGAGTTTCAATGAGACTGACTATGAATCTTCTGCAAGATGTTTCTTCTCAATGATTTCTTCTCAAAACAACAGACACATTTCTCCTATGATGTTTCTAGGGCATTACTTTCTTTTTTTAATATTTTATTTATTATTTTTATTTTATCTGTATGCATGTATTGCCTGCATGTAGGTAAGTGCACCTGTGTCGTGCAATGCCCACAGAGGACAGAATAGGCTGCCGGATCCCCTGGGACTGGAGTTACAGACAGTTGTTAGCTGCCATGTGGGTGCTGGGATTCGAACCCGGGTCTTCTGCAAGAACAAAGTGTTCTTAACCACTGAGCCATCTCTCTAGCCCCAGGGCATTACTTTCAAACATCATCAAGCCTCACAAAAGTATTATGAAGGATGTGAATGTTAAGAACAAGAATTCAGATGTCAGTTACCAAGTTTAAGCTCATACTACATTCAGACAATACAGTGACCCCTCAATATATATATATATGAAGCTGTGGGCCACTTGTAAAAGAGGTTATCATCTGCATACAACAAATCCTTTAGTGGTAAAGTTTTCTAGAAAATAAACATGTATCATGGATTTTTATCACTTTAGAAACCAACTGTTCTAAAAAATTCCTGAAGTTAAAAAGCTTCTTTCGTTTTTTCCTGAGATGAATTAAATTTTACATGGAATACAAAATAGTTGTAGTGAAATTTTATTAGTCTCAATTCAAGAGTCACAGTTTCACAAAACTAGAATTATTGTCCTATTGTAATTACTAGTGAAGATCTTGACTACCTCCATGTTTTTAATCTCTAAAGGACCTAATGGTTTTCAGAAACACTACATAATTTATTCAATACACTTTTTTGTTTGTAAAGATACACATTCCTAATTTAAGCATATTTCACAAACAGCTAAAAATCAGAACATGCTAATTTTTTAAGTGTTCACCTTTAAATCTGAAAACAATTTTAAAGATAACCTTGCCCAATACATACACTAAATCTACTTAGGAAAGTGACTCTAAATGACTTGCTTTAGTGACAGAGAGCTTTAGTGGACAGAGCTAATATGTAGTCCCAATGTTTTTAGAGTCCAGGTCAGAATTCTTGGTTATATAATACATAAGTTCCCAACCTACATCAAACCCGACCAAATGTTAAAGACGAGTCAAGAGTTGGGGCTGGAGAGATGGCTCAGCGGTTAAGAGCACTGATGGCTCTTGCGGAGGACCCAGGTTTGATTCCCAGCACCCACATAGTAGCTACGAACCGTCCTTAACTCCAATTCCAGGGGAATCCAATGCCCTCTTCTGACCTCCAAGGCATTGCATGACATGGTGCACTCACATACAGGCAGGCAATACACTCATACACATAAAAAAATAAAAATAATAAATAAGGGCCGAATGTGGTGGCACACACCTTTAATCCCAGCACTCCGGAGGCAGAGACAGGTGGATCTCTATGAGTTCAAGGCCAGCCTGGTCTACATAGTGAGTTCCAGGACAGCTGGGGCTACAGGGAGACCCTGTCTCAAAAAGACAAAAAATAATAATAATAATAATAAATAATATGTAATATATATATATATATAAAATGAGTCAAGAAAAATAATTATCAATCAATAATTGATATGACTTTTTATTATTGT